CGCACCCTGGTACTTCCGCCCCCCGACCCCAAGCCCGCCCGTGCAGCACGGCGAGACTCCCGCACCAGGGGAGCAACCTGCACAACCTCCTCGCCCTCTGGGCACGCTTCGGCCGCCCGCTCTTCCTCCTCCTCCTCCGCCTCCCCCTCCTCCTCCTCCTCCTCCTCCTCCTCCTCCTCCTCCTCCTCCTCCTCCTCATCGCTCCCTTCGGCTCCTCGTGGTAGGCGTAAATGTTGAACCTGTACTCTCGCTCCACTCCGCCAGGCAGATCGAGGGTGTTGACGCCTGGCGGGGCGGGGCGACCGCCGAAGCCGTCGCCTGCTGGACAACCCCAGAGTTCCGATCACGCTTTTTTGCTTTTCCCCGACACTCAAAATTGGGCGCCGCTTACTGGGGGCGGGGGGCTGCAAAAGAGGGGGGAGAAGCGTGCACTGTTCGTGCTCCTTTGGGCGCCAGGGGGCCCCTTCAGGCCCCCTGAGGTGCGCAAACAGTGCACCTTTTCTCCCCCCTCCCATGTTTCGCTCCCCCATGTCGCAACGCCCGATGGAAGCAAGACGAAGCCAGGACCGGGACAAAACCGGACCAGGAAAAAACTTGAGATTTGCGAGATCAGGCGGTTCTGGAGGATGTATCAAGCGCCACGTCCGTTCTGGAGCGCTCCAGAACGCCCATGATAGCGTTGGGAAGCGCTCCGGAGCGATTTATCTCGGTCGTAGCTCCACCCGAGGAAGTCCAGACCCTTTCCCTAAGGCCGGTTTTCCATCCCGAGCAATCTTTTGACGGATGGGGCCCGGTGGGCCCCCAGAAGCCGACAGTGTGGAGAAAGATCTTCCGTCGTGATCTTCCCGCACTGGGGAAATGCCTGGGAGGGCTGGAGCTCAATGGGCCCTGGAAGCGGCAGGGCCACTTTTTCATCGTTTCCGAGAAAATGTCTTTTGAAAATGGGCACGGTTGTAAAAAACGGAAGCGGCAACAAAAAACGGCTCCCAAATTGGAACCGGAACCGGCAAAAAAAACGGCGACGGAACCGGGCAAATCAACGGCGCCAGAACCAGCATCAAAGACGGCAAAAACGGAACCGGCAAAAACAGCCCTGTCGCTTCCAGGGCTCACTTAGGGCTCGCCCTCGCTCGGACGTCCATTCCCTGTGTATTTTTAGGCTTCGTGCGTTTATTTTTTCGCAGGATGGCCCACGATGCTCCTGGGGGGTCCTCGCCGAAAATGAATGCACACGTCCGAGCGATGCCAAAGCATGGTCCGCTTGGAGCGGTGGGGCACTGAGAGCGCACCCACCGCCGATCTCCTCCCGCCGGCCCTCCGCGCCGAGGGCAGGGGCGCGCTGGAGGCGGGGCTCCTTCCAGAAGGCAGCGCATGGGACTCCACAGGAGCGACGATCAAGAACGGGTCTTGCATGCGCGAGGTGGCACAGCGAACTTACGCGGCGGCTTACGCGGGTCGCCGGCGCGGCACGCTACGCTGGAGACGAGGGCGTTTCCGCGCGATCTCACGCGGGCAGCTCGCGCGCGAATGCCCGCGCCGACGACCCCGTCGTTTGGCGTCGCTCAAGATCACGACGGAAGGTTCTTGGCCAGTTTCCGCCACTGGGGCCCCTTCTGCCCACGGAGAAGCAACCAGGACGAGAGAACGGCCCCAGGGAAGGCTGTGCCGAGACGTCCAGGGGGCCGCGCTCTGAGAAACCCACGACGTGACGTACGCCACCGAGCCGACGGAGCCCATGTGGAGGAACCAGGGAGGTGCCGGCACCAAGAAGACGACCCCGTTTTTTCCTTCGGCTGCACGCGAGAATGACCCTGGGTAAGGGTGACCCTTGGTGCGCGGCTTTTGGAGGGCCGCGGGGGGGCCAAACTCAGGCGCGCAAGACGCTACTATCGCATCGCAATCGGTGACTGGGGGACCCCATTTCGGGGATCTTCTGACCCGGGTCAATCCAGACCCGGGTCAGCAGGAAACCAAAAACTGCAATGCAGGAAAAAAAACTGCAACGCAGGTCTTCGCAAACCCGGGTCAGCCAATATGTGCGGCCGCCTCGCGGCCACGAGCGGCTCGCTAACCCGGGTCAGCCAGAGGGGGTCTTCGCAGGATCCTGCAGGATCCGGTGCCGTGGCTGACCCCCGTTTGCATTGACCTCCGTCTCAAGGCTCCCGACCATTGTGCCCGCGCCAAAGGTCACTCTGGCGAGAGGTCACTCTTACGTGTCGTCGATTTTTTTATGCGCCGCTCCCGCGGCTCCCCGCCGCTCCCCGCCGCTCCCGCCTCCGCCGAGCTCTCGACGGGAGGCGCGCGAACGCGGCCGGAGACCCCATATTTAGGTCGGGCCTGCCCCCCAACAGGGGGATTTTGGGCAACAAATTGAACATAGTAAACACATATGTCGGACATGTTCCAAGATAGAATAGAAAATCGCCCCCATATTTTGGTGTCATTTTTGCATATTCCTCCTGTCGAAGGACGGGCCCGACTTAACCCTATGTGGCCGCAGGAGCGCGCGCCGAAGGCCCACGGGCCCCCTCCGCCGGCAAGCCCACGGCCAGGTGCGTGTGCGCGTGTGCCCTGGGCCGGGAGGAGCCTGCGGGGATGGAGGTCCCGAGCACGAGGACCGCGAGGGGGCGCCGCTCCAGGAGCCGGGGTCCTCCTCCGAGAGGAAGGAGGGAACACGCAGACACAAAGAGGGAAACGGACTCTATAAACAGACGTCTTCTCCGGCCTTGCGCTGCCACTGGCACAGGAAAGCGGACCCTGGTGTATACAGGGTCCTGGTGAATACATGTGTCGCTGTTTCCCGAGCAGAACGGGGGACGTCGCCCCCGGTCCTCAAAGAGTCTTGGGATTGAAGCACGGCGCTGGTAATGTAGATGCTCCAGTTTCCGACACAAGCCTTCGACGGTCCGCGCGGCGTTCTCGGATCTGCGCTGGGGCCCCCCTCCCTGGCGCGCGGAGCGCGCCCGTGGGCCCCAGCGCAGATCCAAGAAATCCGCGTGGAGCGCCAGGGCTTATGTTTGTGTGCTTTTTTCTTCTTCGATCCTCGACACTCGCGCCGGCCGTGCGGTCACGTCCCCCTTCCTCCCTCCTTTTCTGCATGCACCTCCTTCCCTGCTCCCTTCCCTTTCCCCTCCCACCTCCGGGGGGTTGCTAAGAAATCTAAAGTACCCACGGCCCAAGGTGCTCTCAGCTTTTCGCTCAACTTTGGAGCCCCTAGGCCCCTCTGGGCCTCGTGAGGGGTGCGCTGGAGGCCGCAGGGGCCTCCTTGGAAATCCTGGGGGCACCTTAGGCCAAGGGCACTTCTGGCAACACCCGACCCTCCCCCCTTCCCTTGCCCCTTCCCCATTTCCCTTTTTTTTTGTTCTCTCTCTCTCTCTCTCTGTCTCTCTCGCAATAGTCCAATCGCAAATCCCTCAAGGCACAGGAGCAAGAAGAGGGGGGAGGACGACGGGGCCCCCCCCCCTCTCTCTCTCTCTCTGCTTGATTGATGGGCGACTGCCTCCTCCGCCTGTCTCTCTCTCCGGCGCCGCCTCCTCCTCCTCCTCCTCCTCCTCCTCCTCCTCCTCCTCTTCTCTCCGCGCCTCTCCCGCTCCGCCCCCCCCCCCCCGCCCTCGCGTCTGCGCGCCGCTGCGAGGGCCCAGCGGCCGCCTTGCAGCGTGATCCCCTGCGCGGCCGCCGTGCCGGGCGCGGGGTCCACGAGGTCCACCTCGGGCCGCCCGGGGAGCGCACCGGCTGGACTTCGCCTCAGGTCGGGCCTGTCCCCCTACACCCTGCGATATGCTTAAGAAATCATGGGTTAAGAAATTCATAGTCTCAGAACTTGAATAAAAACCCAGATTTTCTATCGAAACCTTAGGATTTACATTGAAACGTTTAGAATAATCGAGACTCTGGCCGAAAACTTAAGTTTTCTTAAGCATCGCCTAAGGTGTACAGGGGGACTTTGGACGAACAACAAAACAGACGCAAAAAATGCTCAACAGATGCCCCAAACTACTTAAAAAATAATCCCCAGACTGCTTTTGAATATCCCCCCTGTAGAGGAACAAGCCCGACTTAAAACTTGGCCGCTCTGGTGTCGCGCACGATCTCGCCGGCACAGACGACAGCAACACCGGGCGGACCACGGGTCGTGCAGCGCAGCCAGGCCTCTAGGACAACAGCAGCAGCCTCCAGGAGCACGCGAGACCCTCCGCCGGCCAAAGAGCACAGAGCGTCCAGAGCTGCCCTCCCCCAGGATGCGCGAGAACATCCAACAGACACGAGACACATCAAGGTGCCCTGGCCGAACCGACCTCGAGCGGGTCCCTCGGCCCCGCCCCTGTGAGCCGGGCCGACCGACCGAGAGGGCGGAACTGCGACCGCGAGATCCACGAGCAACAGATAGCGGCATCCCGCCTATGATGACGTCGGGCCTGTCCCTCTACAGGGGGAAGATTCCAAAACAGTCAAAAAAAATCAAGGGGACTATTTTGTCCGTACTTTTGAGCATTTTTGGAGTGTGTTTGGGGTATTTTTAATTTGTCATCCAAAATCGGCCTGTAGGGGGTCAGGCCCGACTTAAGCCTACGAGTCTGCGATGTCGGACGTGATGGTCCGATCACGCGGTCGGCAGAATCTGAAGAACTGAATCAGGAGTGCCCTGCCGTACCTTGTACCGATCTGATGAAGAGCACTGCGCCACCAAACCAGAACTATCACCGCTTCCACACCGAAAGCAATTCAGACGTCATATGGTCGCAGACGAGGACAGATGCGAAGAGTGGCATGAAGTAGTAGCAGCCATTGCGGAACATTCTATCATCCAGCTTGGGGAAAGAGAAACAATAGAGGCATGGACATAGCACACAACGCCAAACAAATGCCTGGACAGCAAGAACCCACAAATGAACTGAGATGCTCGCGCATGCTCTTACAGAACGGCATAAACGACTGCTGATACTGTTAGCAACTCTACAACACACTTGCCAATGCCAATTACACATGATGATTCAAATCTATTTGACTCCGCGCTACCCGGTGGCATGTGCGGTCTCCATTGCCTCAGCGTTGAGCTTGCAACTCTTGTGGTGCAAGTGCGGCTAAATCCAGCGGCATCTTATGGGCTATGAGAAGAGGCGCAACACGGGATGGAGAGTGAATCAGCAGCATGGGCAGCGGACTCGATCAAGCACTAGCAGATAGTGGTCGCGTTGGGATTGCTCAATGTTAGTTCTGGATCCTGGGGTCTTCCAATTTTGTGTGGGCAGCTTCAACGACTTGGCAAGCAAGCGAACCCTGGCACCGTGGTATGGTTGAACGGATGTGGCGGTCCTGGGCATCGAAGGCTGAGGCCTACAATCCCACCGCCAATACCAACGACTCTAAATATTTGTGGTTTGTCGAAACTGTATCCCAATGAATCCACATTAACGGCATATGACTTTCCCGCGTTCGTTTGGGCGACTGGTCCGACCGGCATTGACCACGACGACGGTCATTCCATGTTGACCAAATGTGTTCCATCCCGAATGTGAACCTCGTTCCGTTGCGCTCCCGGTTCCCTCGCGTCCCCTCGAGTCCCTGTATCCCCGGCGTTCACGGGGGAGCTGTAGAGGCCGCGGGACAAGACCGTACAATCGTGTACTTGGCATGGGTACCCAGCCCGTCCCCCCTGTGGGGCTGGGTTTCTTGTGCGTGCTTATAGATGGCGCACATGTGCACATGTAGAAACACACGTGTACCTATGTGTCTGTGTATACATATGTAGTTGTATGTATGTGTATATATATGTATATAGGTGTGTGTACATGAATACATATAAGAGACTGCCCTGGAACTTCGCGTCATGTACCATGGTCCTTCACGTCGTACACGCAAGCATAACGAGAGAGAGAGAGAGAGAGAAAGAGCCAGATCAATCAAAACATGTTGTTGCTCCTCCATCACCGTTCTCATATTGCTGTTCCTTCTCCTTCCCTCAAATGTGGTCTTCCTCTTCCTCTTCCTCGTTCTCGCCGTAATTGTCTCGCGAACCCTTCCCCGTCCTCCTCAGATTTGTTCTCGGAGGCTCCTCCGAGGCGAGCCTCTGGAAGACCTCGCGAACGCTTTTTAGGGGCTCCTTGGGCGCCTCTGGAAACGTCCCTGGCGCCCTTTACCGGCCTCTGGGGGGTTCTTTCGGCCCACCATGACGTGAACCGTGGTGTCGGGTCACGGTTTGAATGCTTCTGGGGCCCTCTGTGGGCAGTTTCTGAACCCTCTTGGGCCGTCTTGGGGCTCCCTTGGAGTGTCAGGAAATTTGTTTGGTCGTTTTGGAGCGGTTTTCGGTGCCTCTCGGCTGTTCTCGGACGCCCCAAAGACTGGATAACCGAATAGACCCGAGTCGTACAAAAATCAATGGAACATCAACCTGTTCTGTGATTCGAATGCCTCTTGGGGGTGATCTTTGGACCGTCTTCGGGCGCCTGGCGGGGGTCCGGGGCCGCTGGAGATCATCTCGGACCGACTTGGGGTGTCTCTTCGGGACAGCCGCCGACTCGTTTGCACGGCTTGGCAGGGATTTCCAGGGGCCCAGAGAAGCTTGCGGGACCCTCTGATGGGGGCGTCCAGGAGCCCCAGGCGCTGGGGATCTCGTTTCGGGAGAGGGGGTCCCGCACCCCCTGGATCAATACAAATACAGGGCAATTTTTAATACATAGGATTTTTAGAAATATAGGATTTTTAATACATGATTAATTTATGCTTAAATGTATGCATGAACTCATCGTTGTTTTTAATGCTAAACCCTGCATGTTTTATACATGATCCGCACGCGGAGCATGTATTAAAACGGCACTGTATCTGAAAAGAAATCTGGATATGTCATCTGCTTGCACGGCGGTGTCCTCTGTGAAAGCCTATCTGTTGCAGTGGAAGCGTTTTAACTTCGCACCTGAAGCTGGATCTGAGCAGTGGTCCGCCTAGCGCTCAGATGCCGCTGCCTGCGGGCTTTCCGCAGCACAAGCGGCCTGATGGGAGCGTTGCGGTCTTGTCCGCGCCCTCCTGTCAGTGGGGGGCAAGACAAGCCCAGCTCCTGGTACCAATGCAGGAACATGTGACAACATCATGCCATACAAACGACGACCCATCTGCTCCCAACACACAGAATGCGCGGTCGGGGAACGGCAGGTGTGGAACCTCGGTGGCCGAGTCAATTTGAAGGGGCCCTGGGACACACAAATAAATACACACACAACTAACAGGATTCCCCATCTGTTCAAATATTTTCTGGATCTTCGTCTTCCCCCCCACTGCTCATATTTTCACACATTTTCTGGGGAGTCGACGATGAATTGTGTCTGTGTGCTTCTTCCCCTCATGACAATTCTTCCCCTGGGGTCCTCGACAGACACCAGCCCGGACTGCGCTGCCGGGACGAACGCGGTGCCTTTGCGCCCGGCGCACCTCCTTCGGACTTCCCCGGGCGTCTCCTGGGCAATGCCACACGGGAGCGCTCCATCCACGGGATACTGCAACATGCTCCCCGAATTACGAGACCTATGTTGCATCACAGCAGCAATTCGGCCCCTGACTTTCGTCCTGGTTTCGGTTTAGTGAAGTGATGAATTTCGGGGTCATTACGTCGGAAGAAACATCACTTCACTAATCTGGGGCCCCAGGGGCCTCAGTGGGCCCTGGGGCCCAAAATTAGTGACGTGATGGTTTTCGGGCCTCAGACGAATGCGCTGTTCCCCCCCCTGGACGGGACCTCACTGCAGAGCTGCGGAATGAACACGTCGGCCCCCCCGGGAGTGCGGCCACTCTCGTTTTTTTGCCGTGCTGTTCTGTGCGTTCGTAGTGCCCAGGGATCCAGGATCGGCGGAATGAGCATCAAATATATACACATGCGGATACATATACACAATATCTTCACTCATTCAGATCGAAGACTGCAGTGACGCTTCGCGCCATCCACCTTTGCTGGTCAAGTGTTACATGCCGGCGAAAAAGAACACGAGAAATATAGAGGCATACGCATATATATACATATATATACACATCTGTATGTATACACATCTACAGATGTATACATCTATATTACAGTGAATACACCATTCGCAAAGGTAAATCAACTTTCCATCAGCATGCTGCTATACACATGCACACTCCTGTGCTCGTTCTCGTTGCTCTCCTACTATATTCCTTCACGTTTTATCATATTCGTTATATCTCGCTCTGGCCCTTCTTTGCGGATATTTCCCTGCCTTCGTTTGTATTGTTTCCGGAGGACTCTCCTCGGAGGGACTCTTGGGGGCCTCACAGAAGCTTCTGGGGGGCTCCCTGGGGGACTCTGGAGGCCTCGTTTTCAAAGCCTCTGGAGGCTTCTTGGGGCCTCGCTGCCAAGCGCAATCTCCCAAACGACCGGGCCAATATTCGGAGTGCTTTTGGAGGGCGGGCCGTCTTGAGGCCCTGTTGGACCGTCTTGCGTCTCTTTTGGATTGGATGGATGCCATTTTAGCAAATTTTGATTCGATATTCGGGACCTCTTGGGCGGTCTCGGAAGCCTGGACGACAGAAAAACCGAGCACACTAGAATCATAATAGTGGATGCGCATCAATGTTTATTGCGTCTGGGACGCCTTTGGGTTGTCTTCTTCTTCGGGGCGTCTTCAGGCGCCTTGAAGGTGTATGGGGCCACATTATGCTTTCGCGGGGCCCTCGGTGCACCCTCCCGATCGCACTCGACCCGGGGGACCCAAGTAGGCCGAAAGTACTTGGGGGGGGGGCAGCTGTGTGGGGTGCCCGGCCCAGTTCAACATCCGTCCGCCACCAGGCCTTTGGCACGAGATGGAGCGCCCCAAGGCTCACCGCTGTGCTGCTGCTGCTGCCGCAGCGAAAGTAGCTGTGAACTCTTCAAGGCCCACACCAGGCCGCATCATCCGTCAGACGGGGAACGTGAGCACCCGAGAGTGAGAGACATTCCCTGGACATTCCCCTGACGACATGGTCGAGAGTCGCCGCACCGCCGCCCGCCCACCTCAGGGCGTCTTCGAGGCGGCGGCGACGGCGTCGGCGGCCCGCGGGCGGCCTGGCCCCGCGCCTGGGGGCGCGTCGGGCCGCGCCTGCGGCGCCCGCTGCGCCCGCCCGCAGCAGGGCCCTCCTCCTCCAGCGGGCGAGGCGTGCCTCCCGCGCAGCGGCCCCTGGGCCAGCCGCTCTCCTGCGGGCGCTCCAGGCGGGGCTGGCCTCCGCGCGGGTCTCCGCGCTCCCGCTGGCGGCTGGGGCGGCGGTGTGGAGCCTGCCAGGAGCTGCCTCAGCGTCGCCAGCGGCAGCACCTTGGTCTTGGGCGGGCTGCATCTCCTGGCCGACGTGGCTGGTGGGCTGGACCTCGCTCTCTCTCTTGCGGCCTCCAGCGCCCTCCTGGCTTCTTCGCTTCTCCTCTGGCTGTCGGCTGGCTCGACCTGCTTGAGCTCCAGGATTGTCTCCTTCGGCTGGCACTGCCTAGTCAGTATTCTCGGCGCAGCCGCCGCCTCCAGCAGCCGCGTCGCCCTCGCCTCTGTCTCCTGCTCGCTCAGCTTGGGCTTGGGCGGCCTCGGCGGGGAGCGTGTGGCGGCAGCTGCAGCCTCCTGGCTCCTGACAGCTCGCCGCTCTGCTTCACTCCGCCTCTGAAGGGGCTTGCCGTGCCTATCCAGCGCGTCCGCCTGCTCCAGCGTGCGTCTCCCAGCGCGGGGCGCTCCCCTCCCATTATCCCTCTTGGAGGGGCCTCTGGGCACTCCTGGTCCCAGGGGTGGGAGGGGGTCCACGCGCGGGGGAGACAGGTCGCTGTCGAGCACCGCGGCGTGGTCGCCATCCTCGATCACTCCAGCAGCCGCCTCTCGGATTCCTCTCCTCAGGTCATCCTCGATGCTGCTGCTCTCTGGCTCGGGCGAGGTCCCCCGACTATGCCGCTCGCTGTGTTCGTGGTTCACGTGGCATCCGCGGGCCAAGCCCTCCCCCTCGCGTTCAGTCTGTCGGTTTCCCAGGGTGTGGGTCCGCTCTGTTAGTTGCGAGGTCCTGTCTACCACGATGTTGGTCACGTAGTCCGCGTCATGCTCTCTGGGCTCGTCAGGGACCTCCGCCTCGAAGCCTTCTGTTGTTTGCGGCAGCTGCTCCTCTTCGATGTGATCTTCAAGATCTGCGAAGGGGTCCGCGACCGCATATGACCATCCTGGTGTCGCTCGCATCTCGTCTGGCTTGTCCCCTGGCCACATCCTCCACTCCTCTGCGTCTGCAAGCTTGGTCCAGCTCTTCAGCAGGTACCTCCTCGACTCGCAAGTGGGGCGGAGGCGGCAGGGTGCCCGCAGCTTGTCCGAGACCATCTCCGTGGCGGAGCTCGCACAGAGCGTGCAGAACCAGCGCCTCTGGCGGCCCAGCCATCGCAGGGGGTGCGATGGGTGCGAGGTGTGGCCGTTGAACTCTATGCACCTGCCTGCCGCTGGGGGCGGGCCTCCGCACTTCTGCTCGAACCACTCCTTGATGCTGGTGAGGGCCGTCGCCGGCGTGACCGACTGGTTGCAGCACTTGCACCTCCACCCTCGTCCTCGTCTGAGCTTCACGAGGTCTTGAGTGGTGGCTGGCCGTCTGCGGGGGTCTCGCGTGAGGAAGTCTGCCTTGACCTTCCTCTGCGCTCTCCTCTGCGTGACCGCGTGCCTCCTCGCCAGCTTCAGCTCCTTGTTCTCCGTCGGCCTCCGCTCCATGGCGTCCTGGGCACAGGCCGCGATGCGAGCCCTTACCAGGCTCGCTGTCGCCCGCGCCCATTCGTAGCAGCCCATCTGGTTCTCGGGGATGGCGTGCTGCTTGGCTCCTGCATCGGCCAGTCTGTCGTCAGCCTCTCGATTTCCTTTCCAAGCCTCTCTCGGGATGTGCTTCTCCGCCGCCTCCGTCTCCGTCAGGTGGCTGTTCAGGTGGCACATTGTGATGATCTCTCTGCCACCTCCTCTCTCGGCGATGGCCTTCCGCGCGCGGCGCCAGAGGTCGCAGTTGGCTGCTCCTTCTGGTCGCTCCTCGCGCCGTGCGTGCCAGCCGACAAGGGTGATCTCGCTGTCCGTCCAGAAGGTCAGGCCCCCGCACGTCGACTCCAGGCAACTGATGAACGACCACAGCTCCGCCCTGTTGTTGGACTGGCGCGCGCCTGGCAGCGGGCCGAACTTCGCGGCCCTGGTCGGGAAGTCTCTGGGGCGCCCTCTGGTGTCCAGTATCGCCCAACTCCACCCGCATCGCCTGTGCCTCACGTCGCTGCTGTGCTCGCCGCCTGAGCCGTCCCCGCAGATGGTGAGCTGCCCACCCTCTGGGGCTTGTAGTCTGCCTCCCTGGAGGCACTGCCCCATCGGCGTCTCCTGCTCCTCCGTGCCGCACGGGGGTGGCACCGTCCAGGCCTTAGGCGTGAGCCTTCTGAGCCAGAAAGCTGGGGCTCCCGCCACTCGTGCTTCGGCTCTCGCGACGAGTCCTGCCGTCTTCTCGACCACCTCCGAGGGTTTCCTCGCAGAGCATGCTCCCCAGATGCGGTGGAAGTCGTCCTCGCGCTGCCCGCGCTCGCAGGTCTCATCGCCAGTGTTGAACTCCTGGCGCTTCCTGGCCTGCGTCCATGTGCCTGCGCACGCTGCCGCCAGCAGCGCCCCGTAGGTCTGGTGCTTGCCGCGCTTCCTGAGGGGCTCCAGATGCTTGATCATATCCGTGCAGTCCACCCCGTGCTCCATGCCAGCGCCGTTGTGGTGCGCTGCTGCCTGCCTTCCGCAGCTGCTTTCTCACGCTGTCCAGGAGCGCCTCAATGATCACCTCTGGGTCTCCGTCCTCCTCGTCCTCTGGGAAGCGCCATCTGCAGCCGTCCTCGTCGATCCAGATGTCTGGCCCCCTCGAGTCCCAGCCTAGCTCCCAGAGTAGCAGGATGATGCTGCCCATCACTCCTCGTCTCTGCTGCCAGCGCCGCCTCGGGTCCGTCTGCAAGAACCTGAAGCATACCCTGGGCCAGGCCTTGCGCGCCTGCTCCCGCAGGTCCTGGCTCTTGGCCCACAGGTCGAACCAAGCTCTGAGCTGGCTCCGCGTCATGGCGACCGCTGGGTCGACCCCCTCCAGCGCCAGGAAGGTGGTGAGGCAGCGGCCAGGCCACGCTCTCCTCAGCGCCTGCGCATACCTCCTCCTGGCGTGCCTGAGGGCCCACTGAGAAAGCCCGTGGGCGGCCGCCCCGTACACCAGCGAGGCTGATGCACCTTGGTGGGCCACTCCTCGCCTCCTCTTCAGCTTCAGCTTGCGCAGCTTGAAGCCGACCGATCCGAACCTCTTGTGCGCGTCCTTGGCCCTCTTCGCATGCGTGGTCCTCCTGGTAGTACCTCTTGCAGCACGATCAGCTCCGAGGTCTCTGCCCTCTGCGACCGCCTTGACCTTGATCCCAAGCTGGTTGAGCCTGGACTGCACCTGGAGCGTGGCGCCGAAGTCCGAGGTGAAGATCAGCGTCTTG